CTGGGATGAGCGATCATCACTTTACAAACTCTCTGGTGAATAGTTAAATAGGGCAAAAATTCAAATGCATAAAATAGACGATCGATCGTCCTGGGCGACAAGCGATTGCCCAAGCCTAGAAATGGTCTCTAAGCCCCTTGATGAATGGTTTTTCATCCTGAAGACGAAATAGGTCATTTGACCGCCCAAACCCTGTCCTAAATCAAGAACATAAGCGATAAAATACCACAATGCATTGGTAGAACAATGTACATTAAATTAGGTAAAATAAAAGCGTCATCCATCATTGATCTATCCCAAAACAAACTATTTAAAGTTACATCATTTACATATCCCTAGAATATACAAAAGTAATCCAAAAGAATAAGGTTAAAAGTTTGAAAATCCTTTGTAGCCGTAATTACAATGTTTTTTTCAAAACCAACGATTTATAGTTACTTAACAAAATTAATGAAATAAGTTCTACATCTAAGCTTGCAAGAATGAATTATTCACCACTTCACCTCCAAATCCTGAAAATGTTTAAAAGAGAAAGGGGTGAACACCACCACTCAGTAGGAGATGCCTAAGGTATCAACTTTGTACTCCCTTGAATCAACACACCAAAGTATAGGGTCAAGGAATAATCGAGATCATGCTTGGGGTTTCAAGTATTCACGACAACACATTTAGGAACAATGGCATCCACTTAACAAGTCAATGATATGAACCTGCATACAATACCATAAAAGAATGCCATTTTCAATCTCAGTCTTGAAATAGGCACAACTCACACCGAAAATCGCTAATTGATTTTATCGAGGCGAGATTGCTTAAGTATCCCTAGCTTCAAATTCGACAACCATTTGGGACCTAGTTATGCAATGTTACACGTCCAAATTTGGCACGCGCTCCCTCTAGGTCAAATTAGCACCGGACTCGCAAAATCCGTTTCTTTTCTAAAACTTTTTCACAATTTCTTAACATTCATTCATTTCCTTAACAACTCAACCTAATTCCCACAACTATGCCAATGCCATGAAATGCAATGAATATGGAAATAAAATTAACGATTAAGACCATCTATCAATAATTATTTAATCACACCATCTCATCTAGATAACTCATGCATTCATCATTGGCATTCAAATATATATATAGTGAGTAAATTTAAAGCGTAAATCATTTATTCAATATTGGCATACTTGACGTCTCTATTAAGTCAATTAAACATGGCTTTCATCAAAACAAGATTGTCATAGCTATACAAGCATTTACAAGATAGCAAATTATATTGATGGCAAACAATGTAACAACCTAGTATACCAATAAACAACCACGATCACAATTCAATATAGTTTTTTCATCAAAAATCATTATTAAACATTTTATTATACAAATATGTATTTTTCACTTTAAATCATAATTTTTCTAGTCTAGAACTTCATCAAGTATTTTAAATCAGAATCATCAATTTCAAATATTTATATATTAATATATCATGAAATCAAAGCTAAGGAACTCAAGAAAAGGCAAAGTTTAATACATTAAACACCCCTATCTCAAATTAGAATGAAAATCCTAATTACACCGAAACCAAAATGCTCCCCTTGTGAAACTAGCTCCGTAGGATGAAACAAGATACGAGTGAGAGTGAAAAATCCTTTTACAACGGCTCCAAAATCCGAACTCGGGCCTCACCCAAAATCTCCAAAATGCTCCAATTCAAAATCCAAAACCATAGGCTTGAAGCTCTCGTCATGCTCGTAGAACTTTTCTTCTATAGCGCCGTCAAAATCCAAGCTGAACTAGATCAATCGTTGTCCGAAGCATGTAAAAAGGAAAAAGAAAATAAAGCTAGAGAGATAAGGAAGCTACGGCTGGGAGAATAATAGAGGAAATGATTTTGTGGTCAAAAAATGACTTAAGTCCATCTTTAGAGTAACTCCAATGCCCTTTCAAATGGGCTCTCAAACTCAAAATATAAGAGGTGGGTAAAAAATGGGCTCTCCAATGGGCTCTCAAATTTTGAGATTCTCAAATCTCCTCTCAAACATAGCAGCTGCCAAATTTTTTTGGCAGATCTCTTATTTTTCTCTACGGTGCCATTTCCCTCAATATTATTCGTCTCTCTCCCTTAATCCTATCCATCTCTCTCCCTTTCGTTGTATTCTCTCTCTTCCCTTTCGTTGCCGCTCATCACATCACCAGTTCCAAGTGCATCGGCTCCAAGTTCATTGGTTCCAAGTGCATCTCTCTCTCTCTCTCTCTCACACACACACACACACACATTGAGATCTATGGTATCTAATCTGCTGATAATTGTTTAACTGAATTGAAACCCTGGAAATAGTCAAATTTATTGCGTCTTGTTGTACAAAGTAATTGGTAGATATGAAAATAACCTGGATTGAGAGTAAATTCCAGATAATTATTTGTATTTCAAATTTAAAGACTAAATTTTTTGTATACTTTAATTAATGGAAATTATATAGTTACAATACTCTCAGCATTTAAGCTACAGGGGATGGTAAAGACAGTTTTGGACTACAACCATTTTTTTGCCTATGATTTATGAAGGAGACAAGAGTTCTTTGAAAAACAAGGGATGAAATAACTATTTTTATGTTGGAAACTGTATATAATTTCTTCATCCATATTTTCTTAAGTTGCTTAGATTTGATTATGGTATCTATCAATAAATTCTAAGCCTCTAATTAACATGAAGGCAACAAAAATTTAGCTCGAATAAACAAATTAAATTAAAGTGGAATTCAAATAGCAAAATAACATTTTTATGATGTATTTTGTGACTTGTTAAATTGAATGCTTTGCTTCCTTTCAATTTATAATATAGTAATTATAACAAAATAAATAAAAAAAGACATATTAATTACTGGGCTACCCTAATCTCTAGGCGTGTATACGTATGATATAGGTTTTTGTGGGAGAGCCATAAAAATGCAACAACATATCACTAGGCAATGTTTTGATATGTTATGCATTTTTTGTGATTTAAAACTCTGTTATAATGTTTTAGGTGCTTTTTTGATTTAATAAAGAACATATTATTATTAGGCAACCCTTATCACATATGTGTGTGTGTGTGAGAGACAAATTATGGATACCAAACACATCAGACTGAATCTAAACCATGAGAGTGATGCTCATATCTGAACTTGGAGAGAATTTAATTCTATTATGTTTAGCAAGTTCATAAATTCACATGAAAGTTGAAAATAACTAGCAAAGTTCAATATAGAAACATTTGTATACAATTATAAGGGCGGTCTAATCTTTTATGCCATTAAAGTAACCCATAAACAAAAAATCAACCATCGGCTCAAAGAGCAACCATAACTTAATTTACACCAGATGAATGTGGATCTAATAGGTAGAGGTCATTCCTCCCCGTTGCATTGGTAATCACTCTCTTAATTAGCAAAATAGAAAAATGTCAAACGACATTTCAAGTACTGGTATAGATGGAAGTGGAATTGTTAAAAAATACATATATATAGAGGAAATATATATAATGAACAGAAAACAATGGAACCATTACCAAACAGAGAAGACAATAAACCATTAGCTATCCAGACCTTTACTCAAGCACTAAAATAGGAAGTGAATATTTTTTTTTTATATGATACTCCTCAATTACTAATGCAAGAAGTATAACTATTGTCAGCTTTGGTAATTTATCCACAGTGGGTTTGATGTCGCTTTGATTTGGCATATTGATAACTATCAATGGAAGTCCCTTAACAATCACCAATGCGGGGAAAGGCATTCACGCCATATCAAGATGTAACAATTTGCAATGCTTGGTTGAGCATCACCCAAGATCCAATTGTTGGTAACTCGTAATCACAAACTAATTTTTGGAGTCAGATATTCCAAAATGATCTTGATCACAACAACGATGAAAATATACGAACATAAGGTTCTGTCCACTCTCGATGAGGCATAATCATGAAGTGTTTTAGTAAATATAGTGGGCGCCTTAGACAAATTGACAATAGGCAACAAAGTGAAATCAATGAAACAGATAAGGTGAGATTTCTACTTTTCTTGTTAGTTTTAATTTTAATTTTTATACATCTAATTTTGTTTCATATCATTTTCTATCAAGCAAAAAGTATGTATTATGAAAATTAGAAGAAACATTTTTCTTTGGATCACTGTTGGGCAATCTTGGAACATGGCATTAAGTGGGAAGATTGGGCATCCTCCAAAAAGCCAAAGTCTCTTGTAATAACCCCATATTCCTCTTCCCCATATTCTTCTTCCGCATCCCAAATTCTTGAGACGTCCATTTCTCTCGATTTCGATCAAGATGTAACTATAATTGTTGTTGACTCCCCAAGAACCAAAAGGCCTGGTGGAAGGAGAGCCGCAAAAGAAGCACGTAGGAAAAACAATATAGCAGATAGTTTAGACACTCGTTTTTGTGATTTGATTGAAAAATTTAACAAAAATGCAACTAATGCAAGTGAGAGTAGAATAAAGAAGTTCGAAATATAAGAAAGAAAAGTTAAAGTAATGGAGCAAATGAAACAAAGGGAGTAAGAAGAGAAAGAAGTCAGGGAAAAGAGAGAGATGATAAGATTATGATGATGGACCATTTTAACATAGACCCTCAGACAAAAGTTTATTACCAAATGCGCAAGGATGAGATTCTTTCCAAACTACAAGCACGCTCAACAAACTTTGATTATTATGTTCCTCTTTCCCCATCTCCAAGATTATCTACTTTTTTTTTGTTATGCTTATGTATTTATTTTGGATTGCTGCTATGAATTTTATTGAACTGTAGTATTGAAATGCCAAACATGGATTTGATGATATTCATTTTTATTTATTTATTTTTAGAAGGCAAACAAGCTAAATAAAATACAAACACTTACAAAAAAAAAAAGATATATATATATATACAAACTCACTTGTACACTATCTAGTGTACAAAACACACATACTAATAAATCAAGAATCCAAACAAAGGACATCTGAAATACACTTTTTCAAGTTTCTCCTTGTCGTGACCACAAATGTTCAATAAGATCATTGTGGAGTGTGTGATGGATTACAGAAGATAGAATCATATGATGACGAGCGAGGAACTCAGAAAACAAGGGTGACGGCTCCTGTGACACTTCAAATGGATGCACCATTTCGGGTGCATCATACTCGTCATCTAAAGAGTTATCACGTTCATCTTCAATAATCATGTTGTGCAAAATTATGCACGCCTTCATGATATCGTTAAGATCTTCATGGCTCCAAAATCTTGCCAGCCCCCACACAATAGCAAAACGTGCTTGTAGTGCACCAAATACCCTTTCCACATCCTTCCGATATGACTCTTGCATTGTTGTAAATAGTTGCTTCTTTAATCCTTGAGGTTAAGAAATCGTTTGGACAAGGGTTGGCCACTTAAGATAGATACCATCAGCAAGATTATTTCCTAAAGTGTATTGGTTGCCATTTATGGTATAGTTGACATGAGGGGTATGTCCTTTAATGACCTCAAGAAAGAGATGAGACCGATTATGAACATTGATATCATTATTGGATCCAAAAATACCGAAAAAAGCATGCCATATCCATAAATCATACGAGGCCACTGCCTCAAGTATAATTGTTGGTTTATGTACATACCCAGTGAATTGACCATGCCATGCAGTAGGACAATTCTTTCATTTCGAATGCATACAAACCAAACTCCCTAATATTTCGCGAAATCCACGTTTCTCCCCCTCCCGTAGTAGTCTGGAAATGTTCGCCTCAGTCAGCAATCTTATATATTCTTCACCATAAATGCTAACGATTCCTACACAAAATCTCTTCAAAGACTCAATTGTTGTGGGTTCACCAATTCTCATATACTCGTCAACAACATCAGCGGGCATACCGTATGCAAGCATCTCAATTGCCGCAGTCATCTTCTGCAAACCGAATAATCCGGTAAAACTGACGGCGTCAATCTTTTGAACAAAGTAGTCATCATATTGTTCAATTGCATTTAATATACGAAGCAACAATGGACGATTCATTCAAAAGCGTCTTCGAAAGATGTTAGCTGGGTAGACAGGATTTTCACCGAAGTAGTCTTCAATTAGTCGCTCGTTGCTGGAGATTCTATCACGATAGATGTATCGCCAACCACTTACAGAACCAACACGCATAGTTGGTTGGTTATTTCGTTGCATTTTCCTTCTGTGAAACTCTACTGCTATATGTTCCATATAACGACCTACTCCACCACATGGTATGATATTGTCCGCTTTGGGCCTGAGCCCGCACGGTTTTGCTCTTGGGTTTCACCCCAAAATGTCTCATACCAATTGGAGATGACACATTTACATATAAGCACTTCACCTTTCCTCTACCCAGGCAATGTGGGACTATGCACTCGCAACTCACCAGTGTGGTAGCCTGTCAGTGTCTTTGCACCCGCCCACGGCATACCTGCCCACAAGGTTATTACAATCTACCCCTCTTGGAGGCCCGACGTCCTCGTCGGCACACTTCCGGCTGGGTCAGGCCCTGATACCATTTGTAACGACCCACTCCACCGCATGGTATGATATTATCCGCTTTGGGCCTGAGCCTGCACGGTTTTACTCTTAGGCTTTACCCCAAAAAGCCTCATACCAATTAGAAATGACACACTTACATATAAGCATTTCACCTTTCTTCTACCTAGGCGATGTGGGACTTGTGCACCCGTAGCTCGCCAGTGTGGTAGCCTGACAGTGTCTTTCGCACCCGCCCACGACCCACCCGCCCACAGGGTCATCACAATCCACCCCCCTTGGAGGCCTGGCGCCCTCATCGGCACACTTCCGGCTGGGTCAGGTTTTGATACCATTTGTAACAACCCACTCCACCACATGGTATGATATTGTCCGCTTTGGGCCTGAGCCTGCACAGTTTTGCTCTTGAGCTTCACCCCAAAAGGCCTCATACCAATTGGAGATGACACACTTACATATAAACACTTCACCTTTCCTCTACCCAGACGATGTGGTACTGTGCACCCGTAGCTCGTCAGTGTGATAGCCTGTCAGTGTCTCTTGCACCCGCCCACGGCACACCCGCCCATAAGGTCATCACATTCCATAACTCTAGGCTTTGATTTTTCATCAGACAAAGAATCATTGAAATCTCCTCTCAAAATCGCTCTTCTTAAATTGCTCATTGCAGTACTAAAGTTATAATGAGGGAAGATAGTTTGTAGGTAGAGAATGATAGTTTTTATATATGGAGAAATGATAGTTGAGAATGGTAGCTGGGACTAGTAGTTGAAAAAGAATGGTAGCTGAGAATAGTAGTTGAAATAGAATGGTTGTTGTGAATGCTATTGAAAAAAAAGTTTCACGATAGTTTTTATAAATGGAGATATGATAGTTGAGAATGGTAGTTGAAAAAGAATGGTAGTCAGGAATGGTAGTTGAAAAAGAATGGTTGTTGTGAAAGCTATTGTGTAATACCCCGTATTTTTAAAAAGAGTTTATTTAAATTAATTTTGTATTAGGTTAATTATTTAATGTGTAGATTTAGTCACCTATTATTTGTGTATGTTAAATTATTTAATTAATTTTATTTATTTGTACATGTAATATTGATTTTATATTCTATATATTATAATGATTAGTTTAGAAATTTTATTGATTATGTTTTAGATTAATTAATATTAGTTAATTAAAGTATGACATTTGTATTGTAGTATAATAATAATAATAATAATAATAATAATAATAAAAGTATTATCCAAACAATGTCATGATGTCAATTTAATCTTAGGATAGACTTTCATTTACTATGGTAGAATTTTATGCCAATTATTTGACTTAGATTTAATTACCTTGAATTAAATTAGGTGGGAAGTTTTGATAGTTAATGTAAATTTAGATATTTGTATTATTTATATTATATAAGTTAGTATATATATTTATGTTAGTTAACTTATCAAAGGAAGGGGATTTACGTAAGTAGGATAGGAAACAAAAAGATAGCAGTGAGCAATTTTATAAGAGTGAAAGGAAAAGGGAGAGAGAATGAAGCTTGGACCGGTGTAGGTGATTTTACCCGACTACGCGCAACCGGCGGATTTGTTTCAAATCCATAAGGCAAGTTATTATCTACTTTTCCCCTTTGAATCCATAAATTAATTATTTAATTTATTTCGGTTACTTTGGAGCATAGAAAGCATGCTAGGATTTTAATAAATTATCATTTTTTTAGTTTATTAAATTAGTGAAATATTAATTATTTAAGGGTTAGATATTATTTTATTAGCCTATATAATTAATTATAGCTAAAATATTTATTTAAAGCTTTAGGGATTTTTTTAGAATTTTCTAGAATTTTTCGGGAATTTTCTGTAATTTCCGGCGAGACTCCGGCGGTATTTCCGGCCACCGGCAGTGAGGAAGATGACCGGAGTGATCCGGTGTGATGCGGCGCACTGTAGTTAGTGTGTGCTTACATCCGCAGCCCTTAGATTAGTTTTTGGTCAACAGATTGATCCAGTGTAGCGCGTACATGGGAGTTCGTTACAACAGACCAATCAGGACACGCCACGTCAGCAGGGCGCATTTGGGGGCGCGTGGCTGATGCCAGACGCGCGTGGTGGCGCGTGTAAGTGCGTGCGCGTGTGAGGAAGGTGGCGGCGCGTGTAAGAAGCTCTGGGAGGCGCATGAGGGTGCGTGTGGGGCCTTTGCAGCTGCTGGAAAAGTCCAGAATACCCTTAGGGATTGATTTGTAATTTCCAGAGTCTTCAACTTGCATTTTTGGGCCTCAGGTTGGTATTTTCGGGGTTAGCGGGAAATTAAATTATTATTGTACTACCCGTTAATTATTATTATGTCCGATTACTATTTCTAAATATTAATTGCATCATTTTCTGTACGGGTCGCTATTAAACAGATGTAATTAATTTAATGACATTGTTAAATATTAATTGTGTTTTTCTTTTATTAAATGGTATTAATCGTTAATGTTCAATTAAATGATTACATGGTTTTATAAATTGTCCAGTATACATTACGGAATTATTTATGTTATTAATGATATACAAATTATTATTACCATGCTGTGTGCATTTCAGGAGGTAAATGGACTGCTAAATAAATTTATGTCGCATTTATATTATATGGATGTGTTGCCATATAGAACCATGTGAGCTGACTAATAAGTTGAGACTCATTTATGTCTTATGCATTCGTTGCGATAGACAGATGTGTGGCTGTCGGGGTATGTGGTTTAATATTATTGGCATGTGTTGCCTAAGTGATATGCTCAGTATATGCATTAGTGCCTTGAGATGTGTTACCACTATGTATGACTTATAGTCTGTGTTGTCAGTATCGTTGCACCATGTATTAATAGTTGAATTCCCAGGTAGGGAAAGGAGACACTTAACCACCTCGTGTGAGTCTAAGTGATCACCGTCTATTCTGGTTGAGGTCATATTATACATGGTATAGTTTCATTAGGGTGTATACAGGTATAGTATACTGCCGAATATTAATGATTAATTTATTTGATTATCTAATTTGGGTCATAGTAGAGAGGACTTGCTCGTGGGGTTGACCCACCATTGTTGTTATTTCAGGACACGGTCAGTACCCATTTCTAGGTTGAGGCTTAGCAGTATGGGACCACCATCCGAACTCATCTACTCTTACGGTCTTGTTCAGGGTAGAAGTTTCATGTATTAGTTAGTTTTCAGTTTTATTTACTTCCGACGTTGAACTTTCAAGTTTTTATATAGGGATTCTTGACATAGGATTTCCAAGTTGTATAATGGAGTATTGTATTTAATAAAGGATGGATGAATGTTTTATTATCGAGTTTTCCTTTCCTGTCTAAGTTTTTTTATTATTATCATTTTGTATTCCATGCTTGTATATTACCAAATGTTTTTGATATCTCTCATTTTTCGTGTATAAGCCTGATCAACTTATGCGTGAAAAATGTGGGGGTGTTACATATTGAAAAAAAAGTTTAACAATAATTTTTATAGATGGAGAAATGATAGTTGAGAATGGTAGATGGGAATGGTAGTTGAAAATGGTAGTTGAAAAAGAATGATTATTGTGTCAAAAAATAGCATTTTGGATGAAATGCACAATTGAAGCAGAATTGCTAAAATATAGTATTTTGACACTATAGTTCCTCTCAAAATATAGTTTTGGCATACAAAAATAGTATTTTGCATTGGAGATGATCTTATATACTAAATGAAAAATCACGGGTCCCGCCTCTCACTTAAATACTTAAAACGGCCCGTTTAAGTCCCGAACACTCGCAAACGACACAACGCAGTGTAAAACTGATAATATCAATATAAATGAAGAACACA